GCATATTTGAATGGTTGGACCTCTTCCCAGGTCATTCCTCTTTGACCAAACCATCTGATATGGATGTTGTATTGTTCTAAGTCCAATTCTCATCATCAAAATTGATGAGTGTGTGTTTTTTTTGCAAAATATATAAAAAATGATCCAACAAATCATACCATGACAGAAATGCCTGCAAACTTAGGATACTGTAAAAATACGGTAAAAGATGATGTCAAGTGTCTGACCGATCAGAATCGAATGAAATGTGTGGACTTTCATCCCCCTTTAATAATGTTTACATAATATTCAGACAAGCCTGATGAATTAAAGTGTGTTGCACCCCTAATTCAAAGAGAATTAGCCTTAAATGTTTTAGTGTCCAAGCCAAAAAACTGAATAAATTTCTGTAGCATTTAAGTAAATTGGAGGGAAGAGAAGGCTTTACACTAAGGTAAGTCAAAAACTGAACCTGGGTCTAATTGACAAGTAGTTGTGAAGTATTTTGAATAATATAGATGTTTCTTGGTTTCACAAAATGTGGACATGTGTGGTAATGCTTTTGCATGGTGGTTCTTTTTTGAACCCCTAATATGTACTTCAACTTAAGTTTTGTAACTTAGCATACAATATCGCTAGTGCCGATGATTTATTTAACTATTCATTTATTTTTAATAAAATCGAAAATTCTAAGGAGTTGTTACAGTATACAAGGCTGTTTCATCTGTAGGAATATACAGGTGACTCTCGATCTCTCGACGTTCAAGGGACCGCAAGAAAAGTTCGAGAGATCGAGGGGTTCGAGAGATAGAAAGTAAAAAAATCCGGAATTTTCAGATCCGATCACCGAAGTTCTACTTTTATAGCTACCGGAAGTATATGTAAATAAAGTCATTGTACGTTTTCAATCGTATTTGACAGGTAATTTACGTGATATCAACAACAATTATTGTATTTCAAATAAATAAGACAAATTTCTAAAGTTTCAGTATTTATTTGTTCCTATTTCTTGATTACATGAAACCGAATAGCAATTGTCGGTTTGGCTATTCCGCGGCTTGATCGGGACCTTCAACAGTGTTCACCAGATTTTTCTTAATTGGTATTCAGTCCTTGAGAAAGGAATTTTCTTGTGCGATATTTGCCATGCTGGAATTATTTAGAATCTTTTTAATCATAATAAAAGTTCATAGTCTGTCGGAACTTACTGAAACGAACATCTATAAATAAAATTTCTAAAAATTATCGTCTAAGTTTCAATTCGAAATAAGTTGTGAATTTGTTTATAATCTACCCTGTAATTAATAACCAATTAATTATATCAAAACACGGATGACCCACAGGTGTAGTGTCATCTATGTAAACACCCAATTAACACCTCAATGCCAGCCCAAGGCGTTCATTGTTTCCAGGTAAGTCCAGTCTGCATCAATTTTACGCTTGATTGGCGTGTATAAACGCGCAATCCAAACTTCGAGAGATAGAGAGTAAAATTCAATGAAATATGTGTAACGGGACCAAGATTTTGGTTCAAGAAATAGAGAACTTCGGGAGATAGAAGTTCGAGAGATCAGGAGTAAATCTGCTTTATTATATAGAGGGAAAAAACGGAACCGCAGGTTCACTTCGAGAGATCGAGAACTTCGAGAGATCGGAGTTCGAGCCATCGAGAGTCACCTGTAATCATCAAACTTTAGCATCATGTAACATGTCCAAAGAAATTTTTACAATTATTTTTTATCTATTTATTTTATTTATTTATCTATTCAATTTAATAATTAATTAACTTATTTATTTATCAATTTATATTTATTTATTTTTATTTATTTATTTTTTATTAGCCTATGGGCATTATGAAATCTTCAGCGACATGCCATGCTTCCTGATAAAATTTTACTGTTTAGCCAAAATTGAATGACAATGGCATAACATTGAATATTGAATTTGAAAGGTTAACTTCTTGAAATTAAAAATAAAAAGCTGAACAATTTTTTTAAAACTCTTTACAACTGTGCTCTAGAATGAATACGGTTTGGCTTGTGGAATTTATAACTAAACAAAAAAATGTTAAATAAGTTTTAATCTGAATTAATTGGAATTCTTATTTCCTGAGAAGTTTGTTGAAATGTTTAGGTAGATTCTAACACTCTAAGGAACCCTTGGAATTTATTTATTTATGATTATTTTTTAGATTATTTATTTACTTTATTTTATTTTTGGTTACCTACCGACTGACAATCCAATAGAGATAAGAAAAAAAATTTCCAAAAGTAGGACACGTCATTGATGAGCCAAGGAGCATGCACTTATCTTATATATGGAATTTATCTGGAATATAAATATCTAATGGGCAAAAATCGGAGGGATGTACTGGCAAAAGCCTGAAAGGACTTGACTAATCAATCTTGCAGAACAAATCACTTTTAACCCACTTTTGGATTATTTGTGTTACTTGATTACTGGGTTTGATTAAAAATTGGTGATAAGTAGCTTTTTATGATTGGACTAGAATGAGTACAGTTGAATTTTTGTGTTAAAACATGCATGGATGCTGGTATTTACGTGACTGTTTAGCCTGACTGAATTTAAAGTTAAATCAAAACATTTAAGTGGAGAGAGTGTTTGTATCACAGGGAATTATCAATGATGATTTAACTACCGGTAAAATTAATCTGAACTAATTTCAACTAATTTTTAATATTCTCTTTTTGAATAGAAATTCTTCTTATAATTAATAAAAATATGGCATTTGAATATATATTCATTATATTATAGTTCTAAAATTGATCCCAAGATTAACAATCGGAATCCAATTTTTTGCTACATTTATCAAAATTTTTTCGGAGGAGCTTGCAACTGACCATAGTTGTAAATTCACATTCAGTGCTAATGTTTAGCACCAAATCTCATTTTCCCTCTTTAACCGAAAAAGAGGGAGTCAAATTAAATACATGTAATTTGGAAGACGTGCTATAGGCCTTAAATATATTATGACTTACGTCGGTTGACTTTTTCTTTCTTTTTTGCTTTTAAATTTTGGTAAATGTGAAAAGACATCTACTACCTGACTGAATTGCACTGGTTTCCGAAGTGACTGAAGAAGTCAAGTCGAAGAAGAGACAAGAGCTACGCATACTGCCTGCAGTGTATTATAAGTATAAGCAGCACATCTACTTAGCTGCGATGGTTGCTGCATGGTGTACACCTGGTTGTGATTGAGTACATATGAATATATTAGACGAATTCTTATCATATGTTCTATTGTATGCATTTTGTTTGTTTTTATTTTCATCTGAAGTCAAACATGACTAAACCTGACATGAATGAATTGCAGTGTGATGATTTTTTTTTCTTGAAAGAATCAAGCAACATGTTATATGTCGTGTGGCTTCTTTCCTACGCATAAATCGTCACCAAATTTTTACCTCTCTGCCACAATATTAACACATATCCTGGATTTCTTAGAAACGACCTGTTTGAGTCAAAAATCAGAAAAATTAATTGCATTAGATTCAAACAAGTGCTTTTTTTATTTCAAGGGAGTGGATTCTATAAAAAAAAAATTGACAAAGTATATATTTAAAGTCGTTTTAATCATGAAAATCATACGTTTTTTAAAAAACAAGAATAGAAAATCAGGTCTGCCAATAAGGGGGCAAAATCGATTTCCGATTATTCCCAGCAGGCACGCAACGTTGTTTCAACGTTGAAAGGAGGTGGAATATAGGTTGCAACGTTGATCAACTATATTTCAACGTTGTTTCAATGTTGAGGTTTAAACGTTGAATCCTCAACCTTTTTTCAACGTTGAAACAACGTTGAAGCTGCAACATATTTTCAACGTTGAATGTTCGTCGATATTTCAACGTTGAAGCAACGTTGAGGCTGCAACATATTTTCAACGTTGAATGTTCGTCGATATTTCAACGTTGAAGCAACGTTGAGGCTGCAACATATTTTCAACGTTGAATGTTCGTCGATATTTCAACGTTGAAACAACGTTGAAGCTGCAACATATTCTCAACGTTTGATGTTTGTTGATATTTCAACGTTAAAACAACGTTGAAGCTGCAACATATTTTCAACGTTGAATACTCGTCGATATTCAACGTTGAAGATTCAACATGTTTTCAACGTTGAGTATTTTCTGATACTGTAGAGTTAAAACAAGGTTTAAAAATGCAAAGTTGACTGTCTATTAAATTTATTTCAACATTGAAACAACATTGGAGATGCAACATATTTTCAACTTTAGGATAGAAAAATTTAACGTTGAAACAACGGGTAACGAGTATTGCGCACTTTAGTTTTTAAGTTCTAAATATAAAGGTGTCTTTAACTTCTAATCTATGCGATTTTTCGCAATAAACACACAGCTGTATGCATTGTTAGAAAATATTATATATATAATAATTATACTTAATAAATGAAACACATGCGTTATGAATTGATTTACTCAAAAGAGTTGTGCCATTAGCTAGTACAGTGTACATGTAGAATTTTAAATATGAGTTTATATAAAGCATGGCATCTACATTTAACACTTCATCATAATTATGTTTCAAAAAAGATTTTTTTTTTAAATAAATTGTGAATGCTATTTTTTTTTGACATATTTATTAAATATGTTAAATATAAGCTTTTAATAAATAATAACATCTTTATCCAACATCTCACTGTAATCCCATGTTACTATAGAATTAATAAAAATAATTATTCCGAATTATATAAAAATCTAAGAAGTCTTATTTCATTAGATTGTGCTTTTTGTTGTGTGTATTAATTCTATAATCTTTCTTTTCACAAAATATAAAAAAAAAATTCAAATAAACACATAAAAATTTTCACACTGACAATTAACCCCGGTCAAGTTGCATTACTTAAGATCCACTCCCCCAAAACCTTCGAGATATCAGATAAGGAGTGCCTCTCGCTTAGTTGGTCAGTTTCAGTGTCAGGATAACCTTGTTATGCAATTTTCTTGGTGTTTGCAGCTTATCTAGGTCAACATTTGAATTCAACTGATGGACAAGAAGTGCGTGTTTCTTTGCTGTTCATAATTCATGTGTTTTTCAAGCTATACACACAAGGATTTAGGCTGGAATATCAACTTCTGCTCAGTAAGTATTATTTCCTTTTCATGAATTTAAGAAATTAAGTTTTTTTTAGTGTCTGTTTATCATTTAATTCTTGTTTTATAAGTATATTTGAAATCTGCGTGAAATGCACATCCTCGGTTCGTGTATTAATGTGTTTTGTTCATATTCATTTGGTTATGAAATATAAGCTAGTATACTAATATATTATACAATTTAACTAAATGTAGTTCGTCGTAAGGTTCAATCAACCAGTGGTGCAGGGAATTGATTGTATAGTCAGCCTTGATTGCATCAGATTCTTCGCCTGTGAAAATTATACAAAGGAATGCAACATTTTGTAAGTACACTTTGTATATGTATGTCTATTACATTTTTCTTTAGTAATAATTCTACGAATTTTAATATAAAGTCAACTATAATTCTTTTAATCATGTTAATTAAATCCAAGTAACGGAATATATTCCTTTGTCTGATTTTTTAAATCATTCATGAATATTTATTTTTATAGTTTGAAATAACGTTTTACGTACATTTTATCGAACAAATGGCTTTAACATCTTTATTTCTTTTATCAATAGGCTTTAGCTTTAGGGGGTGGATTTTCCTGTTCATTTCTTTCATTCGTGGAACTTAACTATATGCGTGATTAAAATCAATGGATCCGCCACTTTGTGGAATTTAGAAGTGTAAGGCAGACGCGTACTTTGAAGGACCTGGATGTGATTACTGTGACCCACTTTTCACTAGGAATATAAATTTTGTCAAGCAATGATTTTTGAGATTCAGTGATTGAATCCGAATTTGTGTTTGTCTTTAAAATACATATAAAATAAATTCTCTCACAATCATCAAATGATCAGATCACTGAATTACAACTTATATAAATATTATTGAACTTGAATAAAAATTTTTATTAGAATTTGAAATGTATTTGTTTATAAAGCAAAATGTATTGTTATACCTTTAAAAATGTGTTCCTATACAAATCTATACAGAAAAAAGTCTAACATTTTTAATGTTTTGCTGAGCGGGCATAAAAAAATCGATGTTGGACCGCTGAGTGAGATGTTGGACCGCTCGGAGAGATGTTGGACCGCTTACGTCACAGAATGGGCGGAGCTTAATCTCATTTTCATTCGTTGGTGTTAAACAGTGACAGATCTGATGTTATATTACGGAATATAGTACAAAATACATTTATGTCAAAAAATACAAAATAAAATGAAAGGTATAACAAACATTTATTGAAAGAGTTCTCAGGCAAAATTCGTTTTGTCGGACACTTGAACCAAACTGTCTGCCTTCTGCCTAATGCCCTGAAGCAGACAGTTTGATTCTTGTGTCCAACAAAACGCATGTTGCCCTTGAACTCAGTCAATAAATGTATAATATGAATTCAACGTGATTTCAACCAAATATCAATGTTTGTACAACAGAAAAATTTCAACCAAATCTCAACCTAATTTCAACCAATGTTCACTTTTGTTCAATGTTGATATTTGACATTGAAACAACGTTGAAACTTCAACGTTGCCTCAACTTTCATTTGCAAGCATAAATCAACCAAAAATTCAACCCATTTTCAACGTTTATTCAACGTTGAAAATTGACGTTGAAACAACGTTATGTCTCAACGTTGCCTCAACTTTCATATGCAACCAAAATTCAACGTTGATTCAACGTTGAAGTGCAACGTTGATTCAACGTTGAATCAACGTTGAAATGCCTGCTGGGTTACCTATGAATGTTCTATATCGCTTGTTAGTATATAAAAGTATATGTAACAAAACAAAATAAGTTGAAGATGACAAGTAGCAAGAAGTGAATTATAAAACAGTTGCACATGTAGATGGTATGTGGTAGAAAAGTTAATCCTCTTTGCGTGAATGCATGTCGGGATCCGATTTCTAAATATAGAACTCATTTTTTGTGGCAGCAGTGAGAGATACACATACTGTGTTTCTCTCACTTTTATCTTGAGTTTGTATGTCCTAAATATTGATGATTTGTATTTTATTCCTTCTCCGTTACAAAAACTAACGCTACTACAGCTGTCAAAAAGCCTCCTCGGTAGTTATATTATCTCGGAGAACGGATGCATCCTTGGAAAGGTTTTGAAAGACAGACGTTGATAGCAGACCAAGGTAGGGCTAATTTTCTCTTAGGTGTTAATGTGACCTTTAATTAACAAAAAACTAGACTTTCAGCAGATATTTCTTATTGCAGGTTACTGCCTTAGATGACCAAGAAAGTATGAATATATTTTTAATGCAAATCAAGGATATATTTTTTGTGTCCATTGTATGCATCCGGTTCGATGAAATTATAAGTTCTTTGGTCTGCCCGCACGTATGAATTAGTGTACCATTCTGTGTTTAGAGGTATGTTTGAATTTTATGACCCAATATCCGTATTGGATCCAAATATTTACAAGGTATGATAACCTAATTTAATTCGTACAATTTATTTCAAAATATTTGTATAATCTGAAGTGCTTTGTGTAAAAAAAAAGACAAGCAACTGACGCTGATACAAGTGTCAACAATATCATTCAATAATTATTTCAAAAATTCTAAAGCTGATATACAGACTTTATCTATCTTAGTTGATTCAAGACGCAAAAGCATTCTCTACTGACTGATGTTTTCATTTTAATTGTTAGTACAATGTTTTTACACTGAATTAATGACGCATTTTTCCGTTATTTCCCATCCATGATAAGGACCACGAGTAGTTGTGACCATTCGGGAAGGGATGGCACCCGATCCCACCTCTGATGTTATGAAGCTCCGTGTTTGCTCTGGTCCTATTTTATTTTATTGTTTTATGAACTTTTTATCTTGAATGCTGTTCGTTATTCCATTTTCATGGAACCTGACCCCCTCTACTTTAAGAGATCCGTTGTTTACTCATGTTTAAAATTTGTATTTGTTTAGTGTATTCTTATTTGTTTAGTATATTCTTATTCAAGATGAGATGTAATGACGCATAAATAAATACTAGTATATATTAAACAGTTTATTAAGATAAACCTGAATAAATTAAATAATAAATTCATTATTGTGATTAAACTGTTTTCCTTCAAATAGCATATACATGTATAAATTATATGTACGTTTTCTCCTTCTTTTTTTTTAAAAAAGATGATTTTTAAAATGATGTACAACGTACTAGTGTTCATAATTCAAGGGAGTTCCAAACGCCTTTCAATTCAAATGTTACCATCAAACTACAAGAGACAGATGTATGCTTCCCTTATCAGACTAAATGAAATGTGAAGAATAAAAAAAATGATGTTACATCCAATAAAACATCTCTAAGAGGCATTGAGTTCATCACATCATGTCCTTATGTCATATACAGTATATCTGTTGGGATGAAGTATGATTTACTTTTTTTGTCTGTCTCTGTTAAATACTTACAATTTTTTTAAATTTAATTTTGGTAAGAAATAAACCAAGACAGAACAGCTCAGATTCATTTAGAAGATTTTTACATAATATAAATTATGTTTATGAAAAAATCCAAAAAGCAAAATACAATATTTGAAAATGTGTAGGGAAAGCCACTAAATATACAAATATTCTTTTGCAAAATATAGCATATGCATTTCAAATCAATAAATTTTAACAAAAACATATGAGATTGATACAAAAAGTGAATTGCTGTTACAAATAAGTGCCAAAATGAAGAATGTTGGAAAAAATATAATTTCACGTGTAAACAGTCCGCACCTGTATATAACTCACGTGAGGGTATATTTATACTACTTTTCACATTGTTAGGAATATTGAAAGGATTTTATTCGTGTGCTGTATACAACAGATTAATGAACTCTTTGAATTAAAAATGCTCCTTAAGCCAGAGTTGATCTTAATAGGTTAAAATCGCTGATTGTTCTTTGGGAGTTTAATTTATATTACATGAATAGGAAACGCAGAACTTATAAACAAACGAGTATTTTTCCATTCTTACTATTAATATTTTAACCTTCATTTAACTTTTTGATTATTTATTCCAGATACAGTTTTTTCTTCTTTTTTAATACAAAACTGGGGGCAGTACAATATCGTACACATATTGTCGTCGGCAGTGCATGATGGAACAACGTATCCAATCGAACATTAAATATTTATACTTTTTATTTTCAAGTTAAATCTAGACCTCAATTGTAATTAAAAAATAATAATCCGTCAGCATGAATCGATTAAGCTGGTGTTTTAAAATGCATGGAAAAAAAGGATAATGGCTACGTATTCTCATTATTTTCTTTTTAGATAAATGTTCCATATATATATATTTTTTGGAAAAATTCTCTTTTTAAAATTTCTGCTGTCGAGAATATAGCACACAATTTTACATATTATATTCCTGTTTTAATTTTGACTTTCATTGACAGTTATATGCTTACATATTTTGCAATTTTTACATCCACAATTTTATTCATATTAGAAAACAAATATTTTTACATATTATTTACAAAATTTATTAGCATTATAGAATTAAATAGATAAAAAAGTCCATATTGCTCAAAAGATAAAAGTTGTGGCATATTCATCAATGCATATATGTACATTTGTCATATCATTTCTATGCTAATTACAAAATAAATGTAGCACATAGTAGGCACCCAGCATCGGGGGATGCACCAAAACTTTTTTTTAAAATAATAACCTTTTGCTATCTCATATGAACATTAAAGGCTAGTTTACCCATTTTTTGTAGCAAAGTATTATAGCTTGATATTGTATAAACAATATGCGGTTGTACAGAAAGTTATGTCCTTCCAAAATAGGATGTTCGAGTTTGAGAATTTGAACATTTCTCATTTCCCTTGTCAGGGTTTTCAGATCAATTATAATTTTTGTACCCATCGCCTCTAAAATTGCGACCTTCAAAAGGATACTGCGTGCCTATACATAATAAAAGTATAAAATATGACACTTTTAACAAGTAGGACATAATTTCAGTATACTTTTTAACAGGACTGGATTAAAATGAATTTCAATTAAAGCGGGTTAGCACAGGATTCATTTGTTACCATTCATATTCCTCGTCAGATTCTCCATATAATGTTAAGGGGATCATTTTCTATAAAAAAGAGAAAAATAGTAATGAAAACAGTCATGTATATGTAAAGATGACATGACAGTGAATTAAATTATAATTATGTTATATCCATATTTCCGTTTTTGAATCTCCAAAATAAAGAGTTATTTTCAAAATCATTTATTTGCAGGAACACTGAGCTCCGGAAATAAAAACTGATAAACAAAACCCAGACAATCATCAGGCAAATGTACAATATTAAATGAATGTAAAATAAAAATATAAAAAAAAAAAACAAAAGCAAAAACATATTCCAAGAAGATGTGTTTGTGAAACACTATGTGCCCGGCGGCAACAACTCTTTTAAAAAGCTATTTTTAGCACATATGTTACAGTCAAGGTCACAAGGCCATCGACCTTCGTGTCATTTGAAAGAAATTTTAAATGAAGTATGCATTCTGAAATCGAAGTCTATATTTTCATGGTTCAAAAGTTATGGCGAAAGTTAAAGTTTGCAGTTTAAAAGCTATTTTAGCATACAGGTCACAGTTGAGGTCACAAGGTCATTGACCTTGGTTTCATTTAAAAGAAATTAATAAGTGGAGTATGCATACTAAATACGAAGTCTCTATCTTTCATGGTTCAAAAAGTTATGGCGAAGGTTAACGTTTGCAGACAGACAAAGAAACAAACCTATAGACAGACATGACAAAAACAATATTCGCCCCGGATCTATCAATCTGGACGCATTAAAAACGAGTTATGGAACATATGAGTAAACAAGAGGCCCAGGGGCCAAATTGCTCATCTCAGGGAAAAAACAAATCAAATCCGAATTGAAAAATTTACTAAGGGGGGGGGGGGGGTGAATTCTAATGCATGTCTCACTATAAATACTGCATATAACTCCTAAAGAAAGTTCTTGTGAAAAAGATTTTTAAAGATTTTTTATAACATTTTGTTTGTATATATTACTTTGTAATAATTTGAATTTGAATCCCCATTGTTTCTCTCCCTATCCTCATTGTGGTCCCACCCGAGGTAATGATTTGTACAAACTAGTATCTACACTACATAAGTATGCTTCCATTGGAGTATCCCTAATCATGGCTTTACAATACTTGAGAAGAAAATTTTAAAGATTTCCCTATTTATTCCTGTGTAAAAATTGATCAGCTATTGTGGTCCCACACTACCCCTGGGGGCATGATTTGAAAAAATTGGAATATACACTACATGAGAATGATTCAACATGAGTTTCATCTTTCCTGTCCCCGTTGCTTTTGAGAAGAAGATTTTGAAGGTTTTTCTTATATATTCCTATCTTAAACTTCGATCGGCCATTGTGGCCCCACCCTACCCCTGGGGGTCATGATTTGAACAAACTTGAACGTACACTTTCTGAGGAGGATTCAACATGAGTTTCATCTTTCCTGTCCCTATGGATCATGAGAAGAAAAGTGTTAAAGATTTATACTATATATTCCTATGTTAAACACTTTGATCGGCTATTGTGGCCCCACCATTTCCCCGGGGGTCATGATTTGTACAAAGTCGAATGTACACTATCTAAAATTATTCCACATAAGTTTCATCTTTCGTGACCCATTGTGTCTTGAGAAGAAGATCTTTTTAAAATGGCATTAATTTTTCATTAATTCAAGATTATCTCCCATTGGAAGAGGGCGTGGGTCTTCATTTAAATAAATTTGAATTCCCTATACACAAGGATACTTTATAGCAAGTTTGGTTGAATTTGGTCCAGCGGTTCTTGAGAAGATGAAAATGTGAAAAATTTACAACGACAACGACGCCAACGACGACGACTGACAACGGACAAAGAGCCAACTCAAGTTTTAAACGGAAATCATCTGTTTCTATTTATACTGTAGATACATGTACCTTTTCAATTCAAGATGACACTACATGTATTTAATCATTTGTGGCCCAGTGTTATATTTTCAAAGTTTGTTACATTAAAATCATTTTAATTGTTCAATACTCTTATTCTGAACAAAAATTCTAGAAAATTTCAAAAATATAACAAGTTAGGAGCTATGACTGTGGGTCATGAAAAAAGTTTAGGACTGTTGTTTCCAGAGATTTATCAATGTGTATTGTTGTATTATATATCTTTTTCATTATTTATACATATGTAATAAAATGATAAAAGAAAACAAAGGAAAAAGGCACAGAGAGAAAAAATAAAAGCATAGATAATTAGGAAACTCATTCTGCGAGATTCGAACTCACGATCATTATGTCTAAAATCCAGCAATTATACCACAACGCCACGAAGACGTTGTAAAGAAACGGATAACTTTAAGAGAGATTGTTAAATCTTAAAAGAAATTTGAGAAGTAAAATCAAATACATGTTTTCAACATTAACAGTATGAAGACTACCTTTAATCAAAATTATCTACATGTAATGAAGTGCAGTCATATTCAAATAAAATATTCAGACGTTGTTTTTTTTTGGTTAAGGGTGGACTTTTGCTACTGTTTGTCATTGTTTAGGAGGATACCTCAATATTTACTATACTCTCCAAATAAACTGAACGATTTTTATATCTAACATATGAGGGAATTAGTAATATTTAAATATTATTTTTGTGTGATTTGCTTTAAAGCATGTATAAACTAACATTGTAGGACAAAATTTTGGTTGAACAATGTATTTTAAAAATCACTACAAGAGTAAGCAAAGTGTCTATCAAATACGCTATAGTTCTTTGATCAGAAAAAGGCTCAATTGAGCCTTTGGCTAAGGTGAGCTAATAAGACCGAAAAATACATTTGCTATAGATAAAAAATTGAAACCTGAGTTTGAATTTCGTCATAGTTAAAATGACGTCAAAGTGAGTTAAATATTTGGCTAGGTTGGTCTTGATTATGTGTCTTTGGATGAGGTTTCCTTAGATTTCAAAAAACATAGAAGAAATTTTATAAAGTATAAATATTGTTCTAAATGGATAAAATAACTAAGTTCTAACTCAATATCAATTTATAAGTTTAATATATTATTATGATTCAGTGTATTGCAATGCAGAGGAAATTCAGACTAAATTTCTAATTTTTGTAAAATTTTTGCTTTCTGGCAATATTAATCATTTTGTCAAGGTTACATATACGTTTAGAAATAATTTTGCAAAATTGATATTATATTGTTAAAGCTAATAAATTATTCCAAATAATTGAATGCTACATGTATGAAGTAAAGAAGGTCAAACATATATGAACAAAACCCATTCCAGACAACATATCTCAATAAATTGATTATTGACCCTATACACTTTTAATACCATCAGAATTAGGGAAACAAGAGTAACATTGGGCTATAAATAATCTAGAGATCTTATTATTCAGACTTCTTTTTTAATCTATTAAAAATGGAAAAAAATATAATTAAGATAAAAGAAAATCGGGATGTAATCATTATTATGTTTATGGCCCAAACTCTAGTCGTTTTTCTATATGAAGCAACGCTGTTTCATTGCTATGATATTTTATTATTTAAAGAGTTTTGTTGCTTGTAATATTTTGAGAGTGAAGAAAAATTTTTGAGAGTGAAGAAAAAAATGGTTTTAGTGTGAGAAGGTATTTCCCGAGAAATGCTCAGGGGCCACTGGCATGAAAAGTAGGCCATTGACCTAGATAATTTTGACATAGTTAATTGAAACTGAAATATAACACAAGAATTATAGGTGTACAATGTGCAATAGGTCGTTTTTCTATCAACTCTCGTATTTTAATAAATATACATGCACATTTTATGCAAAAACAACCTTGCAACATGATTTATTTGGAAATATTGTGAATTTCAAGTAAATATTTATAAGTTTTATCTTATTTCATTTTAACTTATTAGTTTTTTTTTTCAGATTGAGCCTTGTTAAAAGATTCAAGGAATTCACTAAATATCTCTAAGAGTTAAATAAATATTTGTATAGGAATATTATTTATCCCGTGAGTACATTGATTGCATGTAAAAAGGGGAGAAAAAAATAAATTATGATGTCCGTGTATTCCTGTTACTGAAAGATTTGTCTTAAAAATTTTTGTTAATTTTCAGAACGGATTCTACAACGTCATCATGGCTGCATATCCGTCGAGACTTTATACTAGTAGCTTTCTCAGCTAAAACGAGAATTTTCCTAATAGCAGGAACCTAAAAAAGATGTTTTTATTTTCCATATGCTAAAATGATTTTTCATGCAAATTTAATTTAATAATAATTATTCCATCTTTCATCTTTTATGAAATGAAAAGAAAGATGTTACAAGTTTGAGAGAAAACGGAGGAAAAACCGTCATCACATCAAGATATAGGACATGTACATTCCTACACATTTTTTTGATATTTTCATCTACTTTAGGTATATGTAAGACAGTGCGACCATTAGCGACGGTGGTGTCTGCTAATTCTATTGTTCAATAAACAAATAACCTGTAAGTCAGTGTAAAAAATATCATAACATAGAACTGAGTTCTTTTAAAAAGAATCTTTTCTACTACCAGAATTATTTTTCATTCAAATAATGCAATCTATGAATCTAATAAATCTGAGAAACTTTTACTAATATTTTTCATTATGAGATGAATAATTGTTTAGCCAGAGTGCTAAATATCGAAGAGGATATTAGAGAAAAAGAGCAGAGAGGATGTATTGGACATGTCAAGGATTCAACGTACTCAAGCCCAAGGAATGTAATCACCTCGGCCCAACAACACCTCAAACTTTATATCAACTCATTCAATCGTATATCTGTCCAATAATATTAAACAAACAGACTTTCCTTAGCACCATTTCCTAGTCTTTGACTTCTTCAGATGCATATTTAAAGACATTGATTGAGAAACCTCAAGTCATTCAATTTTCAACAGTTACTTCGATTATATGTACATTGTCATGACACTATATAAAAGTAATGTCAATTGTCAGGACCAGATCAGAATTCGAACTAAGGATCCAAACTACAGACAGATGATCAACTTCTTAGATGAAACAAACTGACAACACTGGAATGTTGATGTGAGGACTGAAAGGATATCAGCATCACACCATTTCTGAGAAATATGGATTTTAGAAAGTTGTCATGCTTGAAGATAACTGAAATCGTATACTGATCAAAATGTACATAAATTATATACACGGGATGATAGGCTCATTTCTATTAAATTCATTTGATCAATTTTATTTCTATTAATCTTGAAAAGGAAATAATTGAAGCCGAGATATAAATATAGAGATACTGATAAATCCCGTAAAGCAACTTCCCACTTCAAAAAATATTCAGACTCTATTGTGGGGTCGATGTTCAACAGAGTCAATTTTCAACTTGTTTAATTCATCATGAATAAGAAAAAAATATCAAGCTGTTGAAAAATGACCCCGGTATAAATTAAACGACTTTTGATCTTAATTTTCAACGGAGAAAAAAAAACACACCGGTTTAATATTCAACGTTGAAAAATGAACCCCGGGTCAATTTAAACTCGAATTGGGTCAATATTTAACGTTACACGGGATTCGAGATACAAATGTACCCTGATATCGATGTCATTTTCAGATTCTATATATTAAGATCCGTATTTGGTAGATATGTTCTATTTGATTAACTTTGATATAAGAAACCAAATTTTTACGAAATGATTTACCATGTAAAGTCTCAAATAATAATAATTATATGAAAGTATTTCCTGTATGTTAAAAAAAACAATCGTCATCCAATGACTCAGATCTGGAGAAACTTAAGAATATGCTGAAAAAATCTGTAAAAGCTTATCGGGTCATTTTTAAAGATATGAATTCAAATCCAAATCAAAATTGATAATAAGTTCATAAAAGTTGTACTTTCTTGTTCAAGGATCTCTTACCGCGAATCTGCGTAAAGCTCCAACACCATGATCTTTTGTGTGTGCGTGGAGGGGGCATTGTTTCCCGTTGTAATCAAATAAATCCTTCTCTATCAAAAAAGTGTTTTCTAGCTCTTTTCCAAATTCTGTAGGTGTACAGCTATATCCAACTTCATAATGAAGGTCGATGTTAAATGTTTTTGTTAAAGAATACAACATTTTCATTACTTTTCTTTTAACATCACCAAAGGTCCTCTGTATTAATTCTTCTTGCGTCTGATCATCATCATTATACAGCATCAACTGTATATAACTCTCACTGACTCCTAAAACTAAAACGTGTTTTTGATAATAAAACATAGCAGTGTCAATATAGATACATTTTCTTCCGTCCATCAAAGGTTCCCACTGCGACTTTAAACAACACACAATCAGTCTGTAGAAGAGAAATACAGGTAAAACAGGGAATCTGAAGTACAGAGTTGGTGATTTTTTAAGACGGGAATGAATCTTTGATTTAACATCCTTTGGGACTTTCATTCTATTCATACTTGGAATAAAACATATATCTGACTTTTCTTCTATCGCCATGAGACCCAATCGTTCCATGTATTTCATCATATCATCCTTGTATTCAACTGCTGTTTGATTTTTTGTAACTGTCCAGATTGCTCGTAAGAATGCCCCGGATATTTCTCCTGTAGTTGTAAATGTATCAAGCGCCTCTCTAGTGGGGGCTGCATCAATTACTTTATTGAAACTGGCTTGCTTTGAATCAGTTATAACATATTTGAATGAATTGACAAACCACTGAATATCCAGGATAACTATTTCAGTACCAAACTGAAACTGACGGTCATCATTTTTTATTGGTTCTTCTGATGAAAAATATAGAATCACACCAATATCATGATAAAAGCGTAATAAATCTTTGAATTCCTGTCTGCTTAAAGGAAGCAATTCATCAAATGATTTCTTTAATTTGTCCAGTTTCTGAAGCTTTGTTTCTTTTTTCTCTGAAATGAATTTTTCAAATATGGCCCAATCCAGGGGTATCTCTTCTCCCCACTGTTTTTGTGACATAACTACTTCCACAATGCTTCTTTCTAATTCATCTAGACTTTCAATACATGCTGCATCATGCTTTTTAAGACTTAATGTAAAATATCTATCGCTGCACAAGTGTGTTTTAATCGTCGAAGACACAGGAAACGTCTTGATAAGTTCTTGGTAATATTCCGTCCTTTTCTTGAAAATATTGTTTCATATATAGTTTGCTGTATTGTTCGTGAACTTCGATTAGTTTTAAATATGATTTCAAAAATCTTTATGAATGATTTATACATGTGACTAAAACAGCTATTGAAATACCTGTTCCGATTTTCCCTCTGCGTGAGTAGCTACAAGAATAACAGGGGCCTCATTTCCACAATAACAGTTTACAGATTTCAACCAAAATAGAAGATAATCTGCAAAAAAATATTGTTCACAAATTTCTTTATATATAATTCAAACATTTCTGAGTGTACTTTTATTATTATTCATTGTTTGTAATCAAAACATTATTCTGATCATTAAATGGTAAATTTTTAATTCAGTTTTGGTTGTTTAATATGACAGTTTTATTTCAATTTTTTTTTCTTGCAAACCATTTACTTTATTTTATTGAGTGCTGATTTTCGGCGTCAGTCTGTATCTGGTCTAAAGGAAAGTTATTTTTCGGTAATTCTTTTTTTTAATATATATTTGCATTTAATAAAAATAAAAAATCATGAAGAAACAAAACTTGAAGTTAGTTTAATCGTTGTTAATTGTGGGATATTGAATCTGCACTTAAGGTAGTCCGACCCTCAGGTTTATAAAATAAGCAGTTGAGTAATCAAAAATACTAATAACAGTATCTTTATATCCACAAAGTTATAAATATTTATCCACAGTATTTCTTAAAAATTAAAGTTAATCATATTATATAGGTAAAATTGTGAAATCTCCAATATTTTTGCAGAAAAAGCGAATTGAAATATCAGCAATGCATTTTCCTATTGCAAATTGATCAACAAATATATTTTAGATTATAGAACGATAGGTATCCAGGTATTCAGAGAAATTGCTATGATTTCAAACTCATTTGGGATTTTTTCTGTCTTTTATTTCCGTAATGCATTGTATAATACGTAGTGTAAAAGGCTTTTGCTTTCATTGCAAGACACCACAGATCACTTCCTATTTCATATCATGCTAATAAACATTGATATCTAAGGCTAGATTTAAGAAAATCTTATTTCTAAAAACCTGTATTTATTTCATTTTATAGGGTACAAATATCAAGTTTCAAAAACCTTGAATTTATAAAGATTATTAAATGAAAATTGCTGCATGAAAAAAAAATTGATTTTCAAGCTTCATTTTGATGGAATTCAAATAAAATAATAATTTTTGGAGTTATCCTTCCTGACTGAGAATTGGATATCCTTAACGAGGTCAAGTTTAAGTCGATTGCCATATATATGTAACGTTAATGGCTCTAAAAATGTGCTTTTAAGAAAAAACACCAAGAGGTCCAAGGGCCTCAAATCGCTCTTCTGATAAATTGCACAATCTTTCACTTCTATTTGAAGCCCCTGAGTATCCTGCATATATAAGTAAATCCTTGAAATTACAAATGTACGTCATCAAGACCTACAGTTTAGTTGAAACACTGTAATTGTCAATGATAATCAACTTATGATGATTCTTAGCCAAAACGTACTACATGTAATACTTGAGATATTCAGTAGTAGGTCAAGAAGACTTACTTTTTGGTCCACATTCTTCGATACCCAAGATGCATCAACTGACCAATTAGAAGATTCTAAGTCAATAGGTATCCAGAATACTTTAATATAGTGATAAGAGGTAAAAAAGTAGGTCATCATGACCTACTATTCTGGTGTATCAACTGACAAAGTTTGATTGTTCTAAGCCAATTAGCTAGTATCCGAGAGGTACTTATATATAACCATAAAATGTCAAAAATATGCCACCTTTTCTGAAAGGTGCATCAATTAAAAAAGTTTGATAATAATAGGTCTGAACTATTAAAATATACCATTAAAACAA